CACACATACATAAAAGCATACATGCATGCAAGAATACTCACATGCCTACATACATACATAGGGTTGTACACAAGCTCAGATTTGCATCATTATGGCTAGATATTTTTTATAAAAGATCCATGTCTATGCCTTCCTTTTGCATGATGATTTGTTTTATTAGAATGTATTTTTGGAGGAATACTTCTCATAACTCGTTATGAGTTAAAGATTGTCGTAGGACTAGAGTCCTGCTCTGCTAATGTTTGTCATCTGACATGATAGGTAAATTGAACCAGGCTGCCTCGAGGACTCCGTGAACCAGAAGCTTTCTGCCAATTTAGACAACAGCAGAGGAATGTATAGAAAGCTTTCTCCTAGTCTCGTTACTGTATTTAACGATGTATTTTGGATCATTAAACCAAAAAGAGTTCGTTTGTCAATACAAAAACGCTTTCTTTCGAAGTTCTTTTTAATAATTCAAATTTATATGAGTATAGAGAAATCCCCTTAGACTTTCATTTGCTGGGAAAGTGCCCGATGAAGAGCTTTGGGGTCGATTTCACTAGAAGACGAAAGCTGATTTATATTGCTTTGTATTCGTCTGACGTTATTATCTTATTCAGATTGAAATAGCCCAGATTATATCAAATTTTGATACAGAGAAAGACTGGCCGACCTGCAAAGATGGATCTCTTTCTTGCAAAAACTCTAAGCTATAATTTATTAAAGAGTATTTACATGCTTTATATACCCTAACAAAGGCTAATCCAAAACTGAATGATTTAGTTAACTTTATTTCATAGCAGGCAGCGTACGCTAATGATTGAGTTTTTATGGGAATAGATGGTAGAGCCAATTAGTTTTATTCATCAAATATTAGCGCAAAATTTTTTGTAGCAATGAAATTCACTTTTGATAATGTTATGATGATGATGATGGACTGCATAAGCTTGAAAGTCGTATGGTAAGCTCAAGCAAGAGATCCCTTAATGAGGTTTTTTTGGGCTACAGAATCGATGATAATTTGTTTCTGTCTTTCAGCTTCATTAGAGCAATTTTAGTCCACCCCAAAAGTTCACGAATAATGCCCATTTTGCATTTTTATCCGCTTTTTCTGGTTAGTAAAAAGGAATTTATCACTTTGACTTAGGCCAGTCAATTTTTGCTCAAGACTCCCTCATATCCAGCGGGTCTGCAACCATCAACACGTTGAATGGTATCTTCACTCTTACTGGATCTCGGGATTTTGATAGTCCCGTTGGGCTGGTGGATGTTGAGCGATGTTCCCGAGAGCTTTACCTCAGCCACATCGGCCGATCAGGTGGGGCTTGTCAGTCAGGCACAACTCTTGAAGGAGTTCGTGTGCCTCCCGGTCTCGAACCACCGCCATATGAACTTGTGATAACCAACCTTTCCGGATTAGGCTGTACCAAAGACGCTGCCAGTGCATTTGAGCACCGCAAAGATGTGGCCGTCGACAAAAAAGCTAATGTCGGAAGCCATTCGATTTAATGCTTTATCAAGTCTGTTGAAATCTAGGCTTCTCACCAATAGACTTTAAACACTTTCGACAACAAAAAATGAAAGCTTCAAATTATTGTAACTTTCTTTTCGAAATGTATCGAGAAAACTTCGAGGTTTCTCTTTTTCTTTATTTTACCTCACTTTCTGCTCAAAAATGGCCGACTTTGTGACTCAAATATTTTTGCTTCTTCATTTACACAAGATATTTCCTCTAGGATGGTGATGAATGAAACCTTCAAAATTTCTCTTACTTATCCTCTCCGCTACACCATTGCCGTTGTTTCATAGCTCCCAAATATTTACTTAAAGATTTACTATCCTTCCAACTCGGTTGAAAGGCAAAGCTGGCCAGTATTCTTATCGTCAATGAGGCAGAAGCCTAGGTCTTCCATCTCCCCTTGCGCAATAGATCTCGGCAAAACATCAAGTGTAGGTAATTTTTGATTAACATATTTACGAGATTTCATTCGCTTTAATGGTGAAAATACGACCCTTCTTCTACGAATAGAAGTTGAGTGACTGACATTCGGGACTGTGTAGCCTAGCGATAAAATGTTGTCGAATAACGCAAAACTCTTGTTGAGAGAAATTCCGAGACCTAGGTGAGGTCGAATATGTAAATGAGTAGATCTCAATGGGATTTTAAGGCCTATTCATTTACTTGCAGAAAATATAAAATCGGGCCTCACAGGAAATATATACTGATGCTTTAGA